TAAGCGGCCAACTAGTTCGGGGTCTCGTAACCGGAGTTTAGCCAACAGCAAATTGGGAAATAGTTTAAACCCAACCTTAATTTGGGAAATATTTTTTTATCTGACATTATTCTAGAAAAAAACTCGTATTTAAGTTACATATCAAAGTTTGGGTGTTTATCTCACACCCCTTCAAAGTTTAGGGTATTTTAATTAGTTTCTCCTATACTTAAAAACACTACATATGAGAGAGAAAATTATTTCCCTCAATTGTTAGCCGACTTATCTTATGCCTAAAAACATTATATATAAGAAAGAAAACTATCCCACATCATCCACAAATGTGTAATGATTCACCTAATAACAATTTTGTTTCACTGTCTTCCACATTTTCATTACTTAATTACATAATTCCATTTTGATTAACTTGTTGTCTATTAATCTGACATAACTTTCCACCATTAGATTGTTAGTTCTTTGATTTTTTTCATACAAAGTATATCTTTTCGATTGCAAGAACTTCTACGATGCAGGTTTATTATTATCATGAATAGTGTGAGCTTTTGATTTGCAAGTTTATTTTCATTTGGCTTCTTATTTGAGTTGATAATCGACTCTAGTGCTTCTTTCATGGTCCATTGACTCGTGAACAAATAAATTTTCTTTAAGAACCATATCATTTCGTCATATATTGATAAATCAACTTTGATTCTCTCTCACCCAAAACTATGATAATATGAAAATGATTTAAAAATGTGAGGTTGTGGGAATAAATTGAAAACGTGAGGTTGTTGTTGAGTAAAAAAGGTAAATGAATCTTAGTCAGTTGCTACATTAGGAATCACCTGAAACTCTTTTGTAAGTCTATCTCGTTTGCATGTACATTAGTACATAATCGGAAGTCCACATAATAACCAAATTCAAGTATACTTATATTTTTGAACCAATTACATATTACTATTATAAAGACATTATTCCAACATGTTGATTTTTAATGAAATATGATTCTTTAACATTCTCATTTTTTTACTTTTATTAGTCTTTTTTTTCTTTTCAAAAAGTCCCTTTTTATTAGCCAAATTTATTAGCTACTTCACCCGATTCTTTTAAAATTGATGAAATTTTGACAGAAGTGGTTGAACTAATTTAAATGGATTCTTTTGATTTATGGATGAATTTAGTTTACATTATATTTTATTAATGAAGTAAATTAAAGATTTATATGGAAAGTAGTTAAAAATGATTATGTATAGTAACTTTGGCTGAATAAGTCAAAAAAATATTTTTAATAAAACTAAAATTAAATAGATCAAATATGTTTAAAACAAACCAATAATGATAAATATAGAATATATTTTCATATTTGCCCCCCTTTTCCTTAAAAATAAAGAATAATAAATTGAACTAAATTCAGAAGTTTTGTTTTATTAGCACTTGGTGTGTTTATTATTTTCATTTGCTAATTTTTTATTCTCAAGTGACATTATAATAGGAAGAAATAAGGTTTGTAATAGTTTAACGAAGGGAGTAGAATAAAAAATGAAAATAACATTAGATTTTTATTTACCGTACAGTTGATGAATTCAAATCACTCATCGTTTTCAATGTAGACCAACTCAAAACACAACCAAATAGACGAACTCGAAATTTTTGTATTAGAATTAATTAGATTTTCATTTGCGGATTTTTTATATATCAAACCAGGGCACATCAGATTATAAAACACTTTAAGAAAGTTTTCTTAAATAAATTTAGTATTTTTAGATTTTTTTCCTTTCATGTTCTCATTTTGATTTTAGAGACCGTTTAGTAGTACTGAAATTAGTTGAATCTGTTGAAATGGATGAAATTCTGAGAGAAGTGGTTGAATAACTTGAATTAGTTGAAACTTTTGGTGTATGGATAAATTTAATTTAAGTTACTTTTATTAATGAAATAAAGAAAAACATTATATGAAATATAGCTAAAAATGACCACTTACAGTAACTTTCCCAATTCAGACAGCAAAATAGATCAGAAAATGTATATAAACATTTTTAAGCATAATTATGGAAAAAGTTATAACACTTTAAAGAAAATTGGGATTTTTTTTATAGATTGGGCCCACCAACTTTATCTCCTACGACTGCTCTCTTCTATTCTATTGGAGAAGTTCGATAGTTTGAAGTTAAATGGCCACGTGGCATTGCTATAGCAAATGAGAGAATTAAGGAGAACTAGAAACCTAGGATTCATTAAGGGTAGAATTTTATTTTTATGAGTTATTTCTTTTCTTATATATAAATAGAATAGATTTCTTAAAATAAGGAACTAATTCATACTTTTAGTAATTTTGGAAAAATATTCCTCTTTCATATTTTGGGAATTGACTCTATTCGTTAGTCAATTGAGAAGGCTTTCGATGGTGCATTTCCTATGTGGATACAAATATAGTGCATGATTTGAAGGCGTAAGTCAGCTTTGTCCCGTTTAACCTTTTTCGCTCGATTCATTAAATTTGTCTCATACCATATTAGCTAATATTTGAGTGGTTAGAATTCATTCCTACTTTATTTACACTTTATCAATTCAATACCAACCACACAATTCCACTTTTTCAAAAAACAACACCGCACCCCTTTGTCCTAAACTTAGGGGGACGGAGATAGTATTATTTTAGTGTATGTTTGGTAGAACAAAGTAGATGTTTTCGACCAAGTCCACGACACAAGATGTTTTTTAATTGTATTGAAATTTTCCAATGTAGTCTTATCTGGCCTGGTTCGAACTTGTTTGATGTATAGATATCTGAAATCTATATATTTTGTAATTTTACAAATCTAATTTAGTCTATGGTTCGAACTTGTTTGATGTATAGATATCTGAAATCTATATATTTTGTAATTTTAAACATCTAATTTAGTCTAGTTTCAGGGCCGGCTCTAGTGGTTTGGAGGCCCGAGGCGAAAAATGTTTAGTACCACCTCCGTATGATAATATGTGACCGAGTATGTTTTTTCCATAATTTAAAGTTACGAGTTTTAGGTACTATAGTTGACTAGTTGTATTGTTTTCTTTTATTAAAAAGGCTTTTGGGATGAGTTTTTTCCAAAAATAGAAGTTTGACACTTATTTTAATATTAATACAATCCAAAAAATAAAGTGTGCCACTTATTTTGACACTTATCATATTAATGTGATTTATATAACACATACTCATAAAAATAAGATAAAATAGTAATTCAACATCCGCATTGTCATTGTCAACAATTTTGAGGAAGGAAAATTTGTCTATACAATCGATCAATAGACACATCTCTTTTCAACTTATTGTTTCTCTTTACATATTAATGAGAAATTTTCTTTACCGGTTCACCCGTCATGATAATTCCTGCATATTTAGCATATTTATAGATAATAATTAAAAAAGAAAAAGATAATAATTAATAGAAAAACCATTAACAAAAAATAAAAAAATAACAACTCCAATTGCAATTATAAAATATTACTCCGTAGTGGCTAACTAACTAAACGCCCAATTGCAATTATTTTTTAAGTTAGTAACCAAAAACTTTCAAAAAATGTTATCAGTTCAATATAAAAGGAACATATAATGATAAAAGATAATACTCCATATGTGGCTAGTGGACAGTAAGCCTCAAACGCAGACCGCACTATCAATTCATTAAATAAGGTGAAAAAGTTTAGGTTTGACCAAAGAGTTCTTCGTCAAACTCCAGAACCAATTTCGAACAACTAAGAGCCCGTTTGGAGAACTCTGTTTTCGGCTTATCAGGCTTATCAGCCAGCTTTTTCACCAAACACGTAACTTTTACTTTCGCGCGCTGAATTGTGTAATAAGCCGAAAAAGTAAGGTTGGAGTTACTTTTCTGGCTGTATTGGCTGAAGTTACTGTAGAGGACCATTTTAGCTATTTTTACATATAATTTTTTCTTTAATTTATTAATAAAATATATTTTTAAAATATTTTTTTCTTAAATCAGCAGAATCAGCCAAAACAGCCACTCCAGCCAGAATATCATAAATTTCAGCAGAATTAGCCAAAACAGCCGATTTTGGTGCTACCAAACGGGCTCTAAATTTAAAACTTACTCCATAATAGCTCAACTAATTTTTGTTTTTGAGGCCCCAATAAAAAGTGAGGCCCTAGGCAAGTGCCTAGGTGAAATGGCCTCATGGCCGGCTCTGTCTAGTTTGATTTGAAACAGAAAACCATCCAAATATATAGGGGTGGGATCGGTCCGGTCTGGGTCGGGTTTTTGCTAAACCCGGAAATTACCCGGAAAGTCTCGGGTTATGAAAATTAGGGACCGGAACAAAGCCCATTATATTCGGTCCGAGTCGGGTTTTAGGTAGCCCGAGTTCGGGTTGGACCGGTTAAAGCCCGGCCGTGAAATATGTCATTGTTCTTTTATATTTTAACACTTATTTTCAAATAAAATTAATCAAAAATACAAACTGCAAATAATAAAACAAATATTAGTCTCCAAAATCACCAACAATTCAAATTTAAAGAAGATAATTATCTTAATATTTTATGTAAGATGTGTATATATATAAATAATACTCCGTATAGGTTTCTTAGAAATATTACGAAATAAATTTTATAAATCAAAAAGTTACTAGAGTTGCTATAAATATATTCTCATGGTCATCATTACGCTAAACAAATTAAACATATTTGTAGTCACTAAAAGTTACTAAATCTTTTTTTATCCACCGTGATTATAATCATATATTAGGAAATATTTTATTTATATTCATATACTATATGAATTTTATATTAAAACTAATTGTTTCGGGTTTTTTCGGTCCGGGCCGGGTTATAGATTTTAAGGCCCGTTAATGAGCCCAGAATTTTCGGTTCGGTCCGGGTTTTTTTTAATTCGTGCCGGTTAAAAACAAAAAACCCGGACCGGGATCATAATTCGGGTCGTCCAGGATCGGTTTCCGGGTTTCGGTTCGGTTTTTCCCACCCCTACAAATATATACCCCATCTAGTAAGTAAGTATATACTTGTATGTAACTAGGTGACGTAACAATATTAGATAAGAAGGTCCCAAAACGGTAGGGACTAGGAATGGCAGTTCCCATATATGTACACAATTTGAGCAGAAACAACTTTATTGCAATCCAAACGCTTATTACATTGGACATAGTCTTACACCCGCAATCCAGAGGCCTACGAACCGTCATGGTCCCCGTTTGACTCGGGCAACAAGCTTTGTCCTCTACTTAACACAAAATATAAAATAAACCAAACAGACCACAAGATTTTTAAAAGAAAAGTCAAACCAAATTCTGACACATCCTAGCCGTCAAGCTCCGCAGTCACAGGATAGTAACGGTGGACAAGCACAGTATACGAAAACAAACACGCGCCAGTTCGGGTACTGTAGTGACGAGGCCGGGCCGGGTGGGCCCGATTAGATAGCCAAAACGAGGCCGGGCCGGGTGGGCCCGATTAGATAGCCAAAACGAGGCCCGGCACTGATTTACCGACCCGATTTGAGAGACTACTCTCCCAAACAGAGGGGCAGCGGGCGGGAGTGAAGGAGCTGGATCGGGCTTGGTTTCCGAGTCGGGTCACGGTGAGGGATGTGTTGAAATACTCCCGGACCTGGGTGATTATCCCATCCGTGACGGTCCAGGCGTGGACCCAGGTGATGTTGCGATCAGAATCGCAGCCCTCGACGAAGACGGTGGGGCCAATGGCGTCAACGGTGAGCGGCACGAACCGGAACGAATCGGACGGAGCGGCAGCGCCGGTGAGGGTGCGCATCAAAAATTGGTGCGACGGCGGGCCGTGGAACCACCACTCGAGGTCGGCGGCCAGAAGCTTCTGGACCAGATCGACGTCCCGTGAACTCAAGGCTTCATATAGGGCGAGCACCACCCTCTTGTTTCTGGATTCTTCCAGACTTTTCTCCTGAATGTTAGCCAGACCGGAAAAGCGATGTATTGAAACTTGAAAGAGAGAAATGAAATTAAATGCGAAGAAGAAGAAGATAACCAAATCTTCTCTGAGATAAAAGCGATTAAAATGAGAATCGGTTTATATAGGAAATCCCGGGGAGATGGAAGGTTATTTTCGGCATTTTCCTCACGCGCAGATGAGGGGCATTTCAGGAAATTGAAATGGCGGACGCTGAGATTACATGGCAATGGCTGTTTGGTACTTTGCTTATGCGTGTGGGGCCCCTGTTGAAGTAGTCAAGCTTTATTGACCTGCAATAAAAAAACACTATTCAAATTTATTATGGAGTACCATAAATGCATAAGGATTTTATTTAGTGATTAATATAAAAATATAGTGTGATGTGAAATTGTGAAATGATCTTCAAAAATAGAAGAAAACAAAAACATAGGGCCTTTTTTAATGTGACGGCTGAATCTGTCGTTACTCCTTAAGTAATTGGAGTGGATACGGGTCGACCCGTTCCAAACCCGGACCCAATAGATTTTGAGTTCCATTCATATCGTTTAAAATTGAAACCAGAACTGTAATTTGGTCAGGTTGGAAAGTACTCTCTCCGTCCTGCAAAAGACTTTCCGGTTTGACTTGGATGAGAGTTTAACAAAGTGAAAATAAAGCTGAAATGTATGGTTGCACTTGAGTAAGAAAATGGTAAATGAATGATAGTCACACAAATCTTTCCAAAATGTGAAATGAGATTTTTTTGTTTTGGGATGACCAAAAAAGGTATGTAGAAATAATTTTCAGGGACTGAGGGAGTACGAAAAGTGGGTAAAGAAACGAATGCATGACAAATGATTAGATTGAGAGTTCATACGGAGTACTTCGTACTCCGTATAAGATTTCATTTTATGTTGGTAGATTCTATGGTACCCAAAAGGACCATACCTTTGTCCACTTGGACTAATCAGAATGTTGCAGTTGAATTATTTAAATCTAAATTAAAAATGATATAATGATTTGGACCAATCATGTGAGTGGTAGGTACGGTACCCCGTTTTTTAAATGGGTACCGGAGTTGTCACCTTTTATGTTTAGAACCTTTTATTTTGGGAATTTATAAAATTAAATTATATTTTCATGAAATAAAATAATACTGCACAAAGTTACATCTTTACTTACGTGCCATCTAATTCTTTCTCTTTCAAACATTGAATGCCGTGGAATAAAAATCACGTTTAAAAGTTGAAAAATGAACTGCAAAAGTCAAAGCAGCTTGAAATTAGACATTTCACGGTTGCTTCCTCTCTTTTTTTGAAGTAAGTGTATTACTAAAGGTCTTTTTGTAAATTTTAGAGAAGGTAGTAAATGTAGTTCATAGGTCATTAGTCAAATGTCTTTTGTCTACTATGTCAACAAGACCATAACAGAGATGTATATTGTATTTAGCATGTAATATTTCGTAATCAAATCTCTCCATTGGTGAAACAACTAATATTGAAAGTTATGCATGTAAGTGATCGATAGATTCCAAATTTTGATTAGGATATATGACTATGGTGTCCTAACTCCTACGCAATGACTTAGGGGCGATTCTTTTCCTACGAAAAGTCAGTTTTTGATGATTTTTGACCCATTGTACATCTTCTGATTTTGGATGAAGACAGTTTTGAGGGCTGGGATGGAAATTATTTCTTGAAAATAATAAAACATATCCTAAAACACCTCAATTAAAAATGATGTGTTTATTTACCTCCCCCCCTAGAGATCGGGGTTTTAGTCCTTTGAACACATCAATGAAACAATTAATATGGAAATACTTCAATTCCTAAGGAGTAAAGGAGGTATATATGTCGTGTGTATTTTGTGTGTCTGGCTATTTGTGCCATCTTTTATTTCAACATGTAAACTTTCATAACTATCTTATTTGGACCATTTTCATTATGTCATATTCCTCGACAACGGTTTTAGAGTACAGGAATGTTTCAGATCTTTTTTCATTTACTTCACAAACTGCAGTGACATTATTCATCTTTGCAAAATGTAGCTTCTCTATTTAGATCTTTTTCCACATATTTGGGTTAAAGACTATAGTAGAAAGTGAAGGCGGGAATATGAGAAAATGCAGTTTGTTAATATATATTCTTATATAATATAGATATTTGAAAACTTGTTGGTGAATGAAAACATTACATTATTCTTCAAGAGTTTAATACTATTAGTATTGAAACTTGTACCGAGTGCCTTCCTATGGTTGACGCTTTACGTGGAAGGCATGCGCACGGGTTGGAGTTGTGAGGACCGTGTGGAGTTGCAATAGAATCCTCACATCATTTATTTGTTTCCTACTGGGTTGCACAGCTGGTGTGGCGGCAATCAGGTTGGGATTTGACTGGGAGTGGGGGCGTTTCTTTTGTTGGTAGGTTGTAGGCTTTTGTGTAGGAAGTACTACCTCCGTCCCACTAAGTTTGGGACAAGAGAAGGTGACACGGTTATTAATAAAAGTAAGTTTATGTGGTTGATATTGAATTGATAAAGTAAGAATAAAGTAGGAATGATTTAGAACTACACAAACTTTACCAAATAAGGTATGAGACAATCTTAGTGGGACGGACCGAAATGGTAAAATGAGACAATCATAGCGGGGCGGAGGGAGTAATAAAGATTAAAGAGGATTGTGGCCTCATGGTTAAGGTTTGTTGGGGTTTGTGGCCGGCCAGAAATGAAAGTGTGCAGCAGAATATTAGTCCGCGATCTCGAAGCCATTTTAGTTCGGGTCAAACCGTCAAAGACTTTTGGTCGGCATGGCAGCAGGTCCAGAATTTGATGTTGTACAATTATTTTGGAAACTGAATTGATATGATATTTATTCCGAGAATTATACTCCATTAATATGGTTGGATTAAGAAGTTGTTCAATACGCCTGATATGAATATTTATGATTTGAAATTTTTTAATATCTGATTTGATCTTGTATCCTACGGTGGTTTGGTCATGTGCGTAGGAGATCGAATGGTGCACCTGTCAGACGTGTTGAGATGTCTGGAGAAGAGGCAGGGAAAAGAGGGAGAGGAAGACCCAAACAGACGTGGGTCAGGGCAGTCCGAAGTGATATGCTTCTTCTTGGGTTGGATGAGGGTATGACTTTGGAGAGAGCAAAGTGGAGGGCGGGTATTCGTGTGGAGGAGTGATCTCGTATTATTATTATTATTTCCCCTCATCTTTTTTCTTCTTGTTTTTATTCTTTTATCCTTATATATATAAACATTATTTTTATCCTTTTTATTTTATTATTTTTAAGTATATTCATCCTGTTTTATACTATCTTTTTTATAATAGCTTATTTTTTTATCTTTATTTTCTTTCTTTTCCTTTTGGTGGTGTTATCATGTATCGATTCATGTTAGCCGACTCCAATATCTTTTGGGACTAAGGCTTGGATGTTGTTGTTTGTTGTTGATCTGATCTTGTATGATCCTCGATATGAATTTTTCTGATCTCATCTGAATCTTTCAAATTTGTTCTGAGTTTTTATGATTTTAATCTGATCTGAATAATTTCGATCTGATCTAAATATTTTTTATGTGATTGAGTATCTATTGTTTTATATAGTAAGACTCAATTTTAAAAAGTAGCTAGAGAAAACATTTATTTAATGTTGTTGGCAATGAGATCAGGATATTTTTACTTAAATTATTTTCAGTTCCGGACCACACCATACCAGAACAAACAGAAATATAGCATCAATAGAATGTTTTAGTAGTAGTGATAATAGAATTTCTATAAATCAATAGAATTTTTATCTCAGTTTTGCTATATAAAATACTACATTCATCTCATTCAAAAGTTCTCGTCCACTATTATCCGGTCAATATAAAGCCTTCTTCATCTATTACTTTATATATCCAATTTTTATTATATTTGAGTTTTTCTTTTGCGACTTTATAAAACTTTTGATGCAATCTATGTATATGTAAATTTTATTTTTCAAAAAGAATCTAATTACGGATAGGATTAATTAACTTTATGGTCAGTCAAATATTGTAAACCGAAGCCTTTCTACGGGATGCAGGGAGTAATAAATATTTTTTATTTGTATATATATAATACTGGTGTCATATGAAAGATTATAAAAAGTTATGAATTTTGATATAGGTTTTGTAAAAATAGGATTATAAATATGAAAGTTATATCAATTGTAATATAGAGATTATTCTCCTTTTTTTTGCTCTAAATCAATTGTAATATAGGGAGTTTTGTTTAAATAGCCGTGTGATGTAGCTAGTTAAATTATTTGTTTTAGTTGTTGTGATAATATAATTTGCATTATCACATAGGAGGCTGACAAATCATTAGTTTTTAACTTAACTTTACTATATAAAACTATAAAATTATAGATAATGTGACAAGAAAGTATCTCTGGGATGTTAAAAAGACAAATGATTGCTCAAGCTAAAATGTGTATTTGAAAGTACAATTAATCAATTATCATACAAAATTGCAAGTGTAGATATTTGACTAGCCAGACGCTTCGTAAGCAATTTGTTTGTTGTTTATGCCGTGCAACGCACATGTAAAAACTAGTATATTTAAATGTTTGTATGGTTTAGATGAGATTCATTAACCAAAAATAAATTAAAAATAAACTAGTATATTTAAATGGTTGTATGGTTTAGATGAGATTCATTAACCAAAAATAAATTAGAAACATAGATATAGGCTATAATGCTATATAGTGATGTTGGAGCCTGACTGCTTATGACTTATGAGTATCTCGATAGATACAAAGAGATCCTACGATGAAATAATGACTTGAGGAAGACGTGATATTACCTTGTATTGTAAATATGTAACTTGATGACGTAATTGCGTACATTAAAAATTATCAAGCTTGTGAACGTATATCACTTTCGTTTGATATCCTACAATTACCTTGTATTGTAATTTGTAAATATGTAACTTGATGAGGTAATTCTCAAGTGCAATATTGATTCCTAGCGGATGAGTAAGATAATTTTCTGAAAAAGTCTGTGCTATCCCAAAAAAGTAAGCAGGAAGCCAGGAATGTAGGTAATTGTTTGAAACTTCACACAATCACACATTCACACATACT